AGAAAAAAAAAAAAAAAAAAATGGAGCTCATTTTAATAACCTCAGTAATAGTTTTTTATTTTATTTTATTTATTTATTTATCTTAATAAAACCTTAATTTTTTATTAAAAAATAAATTGACAAGAAAAGAGAGATTGCTTTATTGTGAAATTTTGGTTGTAAAGAACCTTAACAAATCTTCAGTAGAAAATGTTGTGTTATGATCTAATATTGATTTAAGACAACATCATATTTTATTCAGGTTGCTTCAAGCGCACTAGGATACGGACCTCAAATGGCAATGCAACTAGCTGAACGATTGTATACCCAAGGGTTCATCAGGTTTTCTTTTTCCTGAAAATTCTCCAGTTGGAAACCTTTATTTTTGTTTTCATTTGGATTGTCGAAGGCATTTCACTGTCTTGTGCCTGTATGTTTTATTTTCTAGTTTGGGGAAAATTTCTTATATTCTGATTATAGACAGATTATTCCCACAATTATCATTCGTTAATCCCTGTTTTGCCGCTACGGACAAAAACAGAAAAAGGGATTCTATGAAATTTTATCTTCACACCTTACCCTTTCCAGCTCTTAGCTGGCAATTTCTTGCTTTCTTTTCATGTTGGTGAAAACATTTTCACGTTTAAATAAAGTGGAAAGGGAATAAAAAGGAAAAGGCTCTCTGAAGTGTCAGTTCTCTAAGCAGCAAAAACCAGCAAGATCAGTGTGTTGACAGCCCTCTTGGAAATAATTTTTCTAGCTCGTTTGTCTTGTTCTTTTTCCTTTCTGTATATTTTGTTCTTTCAATCTTATTTCATGTCCCTTTAGAAAAAGGAAAATATTTCGTTCTCCTAATGTTGTATGATTTGTAGAAAACAAATGGGGAAAGTTTTCTTCATTATTGTATCTAGATTCTTCTACACAACTTGATGATGCTAGGATTGGAGCCCCTTCCTGTAATTTTGTTTGGTTTGGGTTCCTTGTTCCTGTGCTACCATTTTATGTTGATCCCGCTTTGTTGACTCTTTTTTGTTTTTGTTTTTTATTACTTCTTTAATATATATTTTTTTTCATTTTTCTCGATAATTGCTTGATTTTTTATATTACAAAAAGAAAAGAAAAGAAACACTTATTGTCATATGGTTGGTGAGTGGCAAGAACTGAGAAAATAGTAGGCAAATGCACCCCTATACGTTTCAAGGTTTGGGAAGTGAATCTCTATGTGATCAGAGGAAAATAAAAATTAATTTCTAGAGACGGACAATATGCTTATACTTGTTGAATCTTTATCAATTCTTCTCTTATCTTGTTTGAATAATCTGAAGACATTTTGTATCTTTCCCTTCAACTCGTTCAACATTTTACATTTTTTATGTCCTATTTTTTTGTCATGTAATCTGAAGATCTCTCTCTCTATGTTTATTTTTGTTTCTTTTTTTTTTTTCTTCTTCTTTTCCCTTCTTATTGTAGCTATCCACGTACAGAAAGTACGGCTTATCCTTCTTCATTTGACTTCAAAGGCACTCTACATTCCCTAGTGAAAAATCCAGAATGGGGTGATTATGTAAGGGTGCTTCTATCCGATGGATACAGTAAGCCACGATCAGGAACTGATGTAGGTGATCATCCTCCTATTACTCCAATGTCTTTAGCAACTGAAGACATGGTGGGGAGAGATGCTTGGAGATTGTACCAATACGTGTGTCAACACTTCATTGGGTCTCTATCATCTGACTGCAAGTATCTTAGGTAACGAACTTTGTTTTATTTGTTTCTTTAAAGATTTATTGGATGTCAATTATTGATGTACAACAATGGTGGAAAGTTTTGATGGGACTAATTTATGGTTTGATTCGAGGGTTTTGAGGATTCTCATAGTTTTTTGGCTATTAGAATCTGAATATATACATGACCTAATTCTGGAAGTAGGAAACAGTGCGACAATAAGAGGAAATAGAAGGCAAATTTGTAGAATTTTACCGAAATGGCTTTGGAGTTGTTAGAACTGTTAACTGGGTTTTGAAATTAAGGAAAATTGTGTGGCTGTTAAATTTTTTTTTGGTAAATACCTTACAGGAATAAAATAAACTTTTTATTTGAAGGAGATTAAAAGTTTTTTTAATAATAGGTTCGTTTAGTCCTTGAAGTTTCATCATGTGCACCATTCTTTTTTTTATTTTTTTTTTAATAACAAGACACAACCTTTCATTGATATAATGAAGGAGATTAAAAGTTTTAAGGGATACAAACTACCAAAGAGAGTGAAAAGGAAAAATTAAAACCAACAAAGATCTATAGAGAACAACCATGAGCAAAAACATAGACCTAACAAAACACACCCGTATAAAAAATGACTATTATTGACTCTTGTAACGATTTTGAGAAATTTAGAAAAAATTGGAGATGGTCTTCCAAATCTGCTGTTATAGATTTTACTTCGTACTTCTCAGTAATTGAAGCCAAAACTCGAAATAGAGTTATTGTGGTAGGATGTGATAGATCTAGACTAGGACTTAAACTTCTTATCACGACTAGTAAAAATAGAAGTAAATTTAGAATTTAAAGACATTAAGCACTTATAATGTAACTATGATCGGCTGTAAACTAAAGCTCCTTGAAAATATAAAAATAAAAAGCTAAATTAGATTGCTGAAAATTTTGCGCAACTTGTTTCCTTTTTTTGTCTATGTTTTTTGGTCAATTATTCACATTTCGAACTGCTCTTGAAGGACGAAGATACAGTTTTCAATCGCTGGGGAAATATTCAATTGTACTGGGTCCAGTGTTATGGTAAAAGGATTCACCTCCATTATGCCATGGTTGGCAGTAAATGAAAAAAAATTACCTCAGTTTCTGAAGGGACAGAAAATAGAAGTTGCAAAAGTGGATCTTTATCAGGTAGCGCAAGTGGCTTCTGAAAACATTACTAAATTGCTATCAATTTCTGTGCATTTCGTGTTATTTCTGCATATGATCTTGAAATTCTGCTTATCTCTGTTATTCAAATCTATTAGTTATTAATTTAAGGATTTAATAAACAATTTCTACAAAAAAAAAAAAGGGATATTAGATATGCTCTTGGTTCTATAACAAGAAGTGCAATTAGAGATGGATTAGCAACCACCTGTTAGCCACCATTCTTACTGAAAATACTGAATGTATTTACTGAACAATGTTTCGTACTTTTCCTTCTTATTTTTAAACAAGAAGCAAAGTTGGACTGAAATTAACAAAACAAAGGAGGAAATAACAAAATCTCTCAATTCATACTAATACCATTGAAAGAGTAATTTGCAAGAAAAGAGGAAGCAAATACCGATGAGAAGATTTAATCTTGGCTAAATCAAAGTGTTCTTGCCAATCTAGATGCTTATCTTAAAAAATCCTCTGATTTTGTTCAAACCAAACCTAAAAAGTAATAGCCTGACAACATTATAAACCAAATCAATTGAGCTTTAGATACAGTAAAGAACCATATAGCAGCTGAGTGATGTTATCTCTAGAGTTATAGTTCAAAACCCACCGTACATGGAAAATCTGAATAAGAGATGCCGACAATCTTTTTTTTTTTTTTTTTTTTTTGATAAAAGACAATTTCATTGATGAGTGAAATTTACAAGAGGGATGTATAATCCATGATGTTTACAAAAGACCTTCCCAATTTGCAATGAGGGAGGTATAACTATAGGATGTAAAAATATTAGACAGTTTACATCAAGATATAGCTTGGTAAACAACATTGTCGAAAAGTTTTGTGTAGGTCTGTGTCGTTTCTGCAAATATTCTCCGATTTCTTTGAATAGAGGCAATGCAAGAACATGCGAATTTGGTCCTCATCAGCCATCGAAGATGAGTATTTGTTATTCCGATTACGTAGGAGTGCATGAAAAAACCAAAAAAACTACTTAAACCCACCAAAACCCTTGTTGTTATGGATTGGAATCGGTTGTGTTCTGTGGTTCTGATTTGCATATAAAGAAAACCTGATATTTGGTTGCTTTGGGTTTGGCAAGTCTAGATCAAATATACCCAAGTCGACCATAGTATTTATGTTAAAAATCGAAAAATCTATCAAATAACATTAGCAATTCAGTTGGCTTTAAAATAAATCTTGTAACTTCAAGGTTATGAGTTTGAGCCACATGAATGCCTTTTGTTTTTACGATGAATGATCCCTTCCATCCAGTCAACTCAACGACCCAAGTCAGCACCAGCGCCAGCTGCCCATTTCTAACTTAAGGTGCTTATGCCTAACACCCTTGCATGCCTGGGATTAACCAAATAGCAAAACCCGTACTAAATCAACTGAACCATCGATTCGATTCAGGGAGATTTTCTTATGCATTTGTGGTGGTTTGGGTTGCATTAGCATTCAAACAGAGTTGAGCTGAACTAACCAATTACACTCCTAGTATTGTGCATCAATTTTCAGTAACTACGAATGATTTGTACATCTTATACCTGTTAAACATTAATTTTCAGTTACTGTTCTTTCCTGTTGAGGTATTTAGAAATTAATTATGCCCGAGGTATTTATATGTGTGGTATACATTTTTTTTTTATCTTGGATGCTCCACATGCCATAGTGTCATAGATCGATGCTACATTTTTCATCTTCATACTGTTTAAAATTTGCAGGGGAACACCTCGCCTCCTGATTATTTAAGTGAGAGTGAGTTAATTTCTCTCATGGAGAAGCATGGAATAGGCACGGATGCATCAATACCTGTACACATTAACAACATAGGCGAGCGCAACTATGTGCAGGTTAGTATCCTGCTGCTGATATGATAGTTTGGCAAGAAATATTGGCAGTCTTTCCTTGGCTATTTAGTTGCATTGTTATTTTGCAGGTTCAAGCTGGGAGGAGGTTGGTTCCAACTAACTTGGGCATCACCTTAATCAGAGGTTATCAGTGTATTGATCCAGATCTCTGCTTACCAGATATTAGAAGTTTCATCGAGCAACAGATCACTTTTGTTGCCAAAGGTCAAGCAGATCATTTTAGTGTTGTGCAGAATGTACTGCAACAGTTCAAGCAAAAGTATAGCTACTTCGTTAAGAAGGTTATTTTCCACTATGCATGCTTACACTACTAGTGGATACATCATACGTTATCAATGAAGCATTAGAGGCTTATCGTTCTTTTCTTCTTCTTTTTTCTTTTAAATAAATTTGTTTATTACTTAAATCTCATTCTCAAGGTTTCCTTTTTTTAAAAATACTTGTACCTATACATGTTCTTAAGTTTTCTTTTTAGTTATTTAGGTGATTGCAGATATGAGACATCTGAAAAAGGCTAATTCCGATATTGCTTTCCACTATTTTCTTCCACTCATTGATTTCATTAAGACAAATCCTCGATTTCATGTTTGTTGCAATTCAAACGGTGGTAGAAGATTACTTGAGTTAGATAGGACAAAGGATGAAGAATAGATTTTCAAATTAGACTTTGCAAAGGGTTAAGGATAGAACCGGTTGGAAATCTTTAATTGTGAGGTGTTTAAAAAGAAAAGTTTTGGGGAAATTTGGCAAAACGGATGAAAGGCAGTGCTTATGGACTAAATTTTCAGTATTCCTTGAATGAAGACCGAGAGGGTTTCTACTTCTTCGAGGGAACTGACAAAAACAGATCCTTTATCTCCATTTATATTTTTTTACTGTGAAGAATGTATCGAGTAAACCTATCATTATGTACCTATTTTCTTTGCCAATGAAATTTTTGTTGGTGATAGTGTGACATTAGAATTTATTTATTTATTATTATTATTATTTTTTCAATTTTAGAGGATGTGGAGAATAAAGCTTTCCTCTTCCATTATTCTAAAGCATGGCATCAGGAACCAGGCTTTTTAACTTCTCAATTGGTGCAATCAAACCTGTAAAATTGCTTCTTATCTTGTTCAGATCGATCATATGGATGCTCTGTTTGAAGCACAATTTTCTCCTCTTGCGGAGTCGGGACGTGCTTTGAGCAAATGTGGCAAATGCCTACGTTATATGAAGTTTATTTCTTCCCAACCACAGCGCCTGTACTGTGGTACATGTGAGGAGGTTTATTATCTTCCTCAAAGGGGAGCAATAAAGGTAAATATCCCACCAAGTCTTGCCACTTCTTTCCGTTGATTGTACACACTCTTCAACTTTCTTGTTTCACGCTCTATATACAGTTTTTTAAGATATTTTCTTAATGTACCCTCATTTTTTCCGAAGTTATGGTACCTGCAGCTGAATTACCTTGACGACTAATAGTACCATTTCATATATATTATTTCTTTTTCATGCAGTATTTGGAATATAAGCATTTGCGACCGTTGTTGCATGCCTTCAACTTCATTTTGTTCCATTTTTTTGTTACTGATAGCACTATTTATGAAGGATTCACTTTCTTTACTTAGCAATCATTGCTAATAATTCGTCTTAATTGCTGCTGAAAATTCATTGCATGTATCACTGTTATCGTTGATGGCTGAAGTGCTCTTAAACATCCTGTTCAACTGAGGTTGATGCCTTATGACATGAATGCTTTTAAGAATTCTTGGTTGATTAAAAGAGCTTTCTGATTATCATCCTAAAATTTACTCTTTCTTTTCAGCTGTACAAGGAACTTACATGCCCTTTGGATAACTTTGAGCTCTTGATTTTTTCCTTACCTGGTCCAGAAGGCAAGTCATTTCCTCTTTGCCCATACTGCTACAATAGTCCTCCATTCGAGGGTATCGACACATTATATGGTGCTGCTAAAACCAACCCGAGTTCTGGAGCATCGAGCAAGGGAATGGGCATGCCATGCTTCCTATGCCCGCACCCAACATGTCGACATTCTTTAATAACCCAAGGAGTTTGCGCTTGCCCGGAATGTAGCGGGACGCTTGTCCTAGATCCAGTGGGTGCACCCAACTGGAAACTCAACTGCAACAAATGCAATTGTCTTGTCTTCCTTCCTCAGGGTGCTCATAGGATTGCCACCACAAACGAGAAGTGTGCTGAATGTGACTCTACAATTATAGAAGTGGACTTCAACAAGAAAACTACTCCATTGGAGGGTGGAGCTACATTGTTTGTTGGGTGCATTCTTTGCGATGAATTTCTCCACTCCCTTCTGGAGATGAAGCATGGAAAATCATTTTTCAGAGGGAGAGGTTCTAGAGGAAGGGGACGGGGACGGGGAAGGGGAAGGGGAAGAGGACGTAGTTCTGGGAAACTGATGGACCCGAAAATGAGTTTCCGAGATTTCTGAAGAAAGGCAGACCATCTTTCAGGAATTGTAGAGGAAGAGTACGCAAAATTTAGGTAGAGAACACCAAGATGAACCACCTAAACCTTTTCTTATACATTATTTACCTTTTAACTCGTATGGTGCCTGTTTCATAGGTTGTGAAGCTGCTGCTGTACATCCTTCTTTTCCTCCTGTTTCCTTTTATGGTCAGGATTTTGAACACATTAATGTGGAATAATGCTTGCATTCAATCTATTATGTTATCTGAGTAAGTAGTTTTGAGCGTATCCATAGTTTTTTTTTTCTTTTTTATAGCAAAGTTTGAAAAATTGCATTAAGATTAATGCTAAAAAGACTTGGTTTAAAGAGGATCTAAACTTACAAATCAGGACAATTTAGAACCCTTTTGTAATGACTTTATTTACCATGTTCTATTATAAAAATTATGCTTATTTATTAGCTACTATTTGTATATAATTTCGTTCTTCAAAATCATGTATTCTTTTCACATAAACAAGCATCCCAGACTATTATGATGAGAACATTTTGCATTTTGTAGCAGAACTTCCTCCTCCTGATTTCTCTGATTGATGTGTTAACAATTTGTATGACAAAAGAAATAAACGTGATCACCACGCAGAAAAAACTCATTTTCATTGCTAGTACCATAATAATGTCTCAGCCTGAAGCTGGAAGAGGCGGCGGAATGTGATTAGGAGGTGGCGGGAGGGGCATTGACGACATTTGCATCGGTGGCATTCCGAGCTGCTGCTGCATCGGTGTTGGCGGTGGTCGCCTAATCTGTGGCTGTGTTCCCATACCCATTGGTGGAGGGACGGGCATGGAATGTGTTGGAGCTTGAGGAGGTGGAGGAGGCATGTTTGGTGGAGGTGGCCGGAACTGCTGAACTGGTGGCAGCATGAAGGAACCAGGCATCATTTGAGCCTGTTGCTGCGGTTGACCCTGCCAGGCTTGTGGTTGTCCAACCATCTGCATAGGGGGGAAAGCCACCCCTTGCGGTGGTGGAGGACGTATTGCAGGAATCGGACTGGGAGCCATTGCGCCATTTGCGAAGGGGCGTGGTGGCACTGGAGCTCCAAACGAACCATTAGGCTGTGCAACCTTGGGAAGTGTCGGAGGGCCACTGGCAAACAAAGTGTGAGGCCTACTCTTCTGGGGATTGCTAGCAGCCAATACTCTCTCTAAAAACAGAAAAAGCCACAAAGTTCACAGAATCCTGTTCATAACCTAAAAAAACTCCATAAACTTCACAGAATGGCAAACAATTCTTACCTGCAGGTGTGCCGTGCCGCTCTCCCTTCGTATCTTTCTTATAGGCATACGAAACCGTAATTTGACGATTGCAAAGATACTGGCCGTTCATCGCCTGTTACGAAAGTAACAAAAATTGTCTCAATCTTCATTCTTTTTTTAGGGATGTCTTAACATATCAGAACAGAATGCTGTATGTATTTGGCTGCACTGCAGTGCTTTCCAATAAGCAAAAAAACATGACTTACCTCAATTGCTGCATCAGATGCTTCGAAGGAGTCATAGCTAATAAAACCGAACCCACGTGAGTTTCCTGTATCGGGATCCCTCATAATCTGGTTAAAAAAAGATGTTTCACGTGTTAGAAGACAAATGTGCATAAGATAAGACTCAAATCTTTCAAGTTAAACAGCTCTAATACGTCCCGAAAAAAGAGCTGAGTAGCAAAGATAAATAGTGAACTATGTCCATAAGAAGAGAACAACAAAAAGTAAAACCGAGTCACTTTAACCAGATATTCCATACTAAAAAAATGAAGCATTCCAATGGTAGCTTGCATCTCGAGTAGACGTGAAATAAATCCTAGAAATGTAACGTTTAAACATGTATAAATGCATTGTTCATATTGGCTAAAGGTTTTTAATATCTTGGCCTCCCTCCCTCATTATTTTGGCTAAAGGTCTTCACTTCATTAAATTGTAATAAGATCACTACCTTAGAGAGTAACTAGTTCTCTTGAAAATGAACCCTAATCTCCTAGTAACTAGTTTGCTAGAAAATGATCTCTAATCTCCTAGGATAAACAAAACATAAACGAGTAATGCGGTTTATCGGAAAAGTTATAACCTTAGGATTCGTCACAATGACCCCAAATGCACTGAAAGTATCGTAGAGAAGCTTCTCATCGACATCCTGAAAGAAACATCATGACTTAGTACCAATATTCAAAACATTAGCCTTGCAAGTTTTCCGGTTATAATCAGAATAATATAACGACTTACCGGGTCAAGGTTTCCTATGAAGAGATTTGCACCGACGTCCAAACTCTTCTTGTCTTGAGATGCCTGGAATATGCAATGCACACATAATAAAAGTTAAATATCCATTTTTATAAGAAGATAAAATACCATATCAATATCAAAACACACTATAGCACACTATAGGTGTGAGATCCCACATTGGTTGGAGAGGGAAACAACGCATTTCTTACAAGGGTGAGGAAACTTCTCCCTAGCAAACGCGTTTTAAAACCTTGAGCGGAAGATCGGAAGGGAAAGCCCAAAGAGGACAATATCCGCTAGCGGTGGGCTTGGGCTGTTACAAATGGTATTAGTCACCGAATGGTGTGCCAGCGAGGACGCTGGGCCCCCAAGGGGGTGGATTGTGAGATCCCACATTGGTTGGAGAGGGGGATGAAGCATTTCTTATAAGGGTGTGGAAACCTCTCCCTAACAGACGCATTTTAAAACCTTGAGAGAAGCTCGGAAGGGAAAGCCCTAAGAGGACAATATCTACTAGTGGTGGGCTTGGACAGTTACAAATGGTATTAGCGCCAGTCACCAAATGGTGTGCCAACGAGGACGCTGACCCCCAAGGAGGGTGGATTGTGAGATCCTACATTGGTTGGAGAGGGGAACGAAGCATTTCCTATAAGGGTGTGAAAACCACTCCCTAACAGACGCGTTTTAAAATCTTGAGGGAAAGCTCGGAAGGAAAAGCCCAAAGATGACAATATCCACCTTGGAGAGGGGAACGAAACATTTCTTATAAGGGTGTGGAAACCTCTCCCTAGCATATATCCACCTTGGAGAGGGGAACGAAACATTTCTTATAAGGGTGTGGAAACCTCTCCCTAGCATACGCGTTTTAAAACCTTGAGGAGAAGCCCGAAAGGAAAAGCCCAAAGATGACAATATCCACTTTGGAGAGGGGGACGAAGCATTTCTTATAAGGGTGTGGAAACCTCTCCCTAGTATACGCATTTTAAAGCTTTGAGGGGAAGCTCAAAAGGGAAAGCCCAAAGATGACAATATCTACTAGCGGTGTGGGTCTGCTTAGACTGTTACAATAGGACAATTGAAAGAACAAATTTCCTACTTACTTTGTTTACACGAATTGGCTTCCCATAGAGCTTAATCATATTTAGCACCTTAATAGCCTGCAAAGAATCAATTGACAATGGAAAATCAAGATAAAATCCCAAACCACGTAACTAGGAGGATCAAAAGGCAAAAGAGCCCATAGCATAACTTACATAATCTGCATCTTCCTCACTGCGAAACTCAATGAACCCATATCCCTGATGCAAGTTAGTGACTCTATCCTTCGGCACATACACATTGACTGCAAAATAAGAAATGGGGTACAATTTAAGGAACTATTCCAATCAATAAGGGGAAAAAACAGCTAAAACAGAGTATTCAGAAATTTCCAAGAGTCCATTAAGTGAAGAACTGAACGAACGTACCAACTGGGCCGGCTTGAACAAACAGCTCCCAAAGCGACTCCTCAGAAACCTGCAGGAAACACACACAAAAAACAGGAAAATGATATGCTATAAATGAAATTAGAAGAACGGTGAAACCCTAAGCGCGGGGAGATTTGAACATGAATTGATTGGTGAAGCAGGGAGAAAGAGCAGAAGAAGAAAAAGGAGGACCTGGGGATCTAGATTGCCGACATAGGCAGTGGCGTCTTGGTTCCTCTCGGGGGCGTGCTGGCCCAGAAGATTAGCTCCGACTCCCGGCGCTATCTTCGTCGTCATCTTCTCCGGCGAGCGTCTGGGGTTCACAAATTACAGACTAAAAACCTCTTGCAGACTCGCGAGTCGCGAGAGAGAGTTGAAGAAGTTCCCATGGGGTTTTGTTTGAATTTCTGGGGTTTTGTTTGAATTTGGTTTTAAATATTTTAATTTTTTAAAAAAATTAAATCTTTAATTTTTCCATCTCCAATTAAAATTTATCATTTTTAGACAATAAAACCTTTACAATATTTTCAAGTTGATTGGATCGGTAACTCAAACAACCTAAATAAAGTTCACAACTCAACCTAACTCTCTATAAAGAAAAGGTGAGTATGAAAAGACGTATCGTGTAACCATCCCTGTAAGCAACTTCATTCTTTCTTGATCTATAAATTGACTTTATGAAAAAATTAGTCTTTCGGTTGAAAGTGTGACTGTTGGGTCTGGCACAAGACAACAGCCGCTGACACCCCACACCATTGTGGCTGGAGAGGTCTTGCCCATCAGCCTACTTTGCCCAGAGGTGGGGCCGAAGCGTAATGACCTAGTCCAAATCCACCTAGATGAAGTTGCAAGGCGTATGAAGGGAGCGAGACCCTGATTGAAGATCACTCCAAAAAATCAACCTAACCTTGTCGTTAGATTGTGTGGCAACGTGAGCCAACGTTAGCAGAAAGAAGGAGGAGACGGAAGGCATTATTCTAAATCTATGTCGGAATTGGCCAGTGCAAAGATGATCATTGATGCTGGGAGTTCGAATAACATAGCGTCCACGGGGATGGTGGATCCATTTACATTAAAACAACTCAAATATTAAACAAACATCTTACAAATGTCACCATCTTTATAATAATTCAAAAAATAGAATTGAATTCTAACTCTATTGTTACGAGCGATTTGACAAAAAGAAAAAAAGTCAACGATTTGGATTAAGGGTCGGAATTGATAATCAAAATTAACGACAAAGTATAGACATTTTATGTTTTGTGTAGAAATGTGAGGAAGTGTACGTGTATGAACGAACAGCCCACACCCATTTTTGGAACTTTACGGATAGAACCAATGCATAGGCGAAATCCGGCGGCCCAAGCAACGTGGGTATGCACCTGGCCACCATTATCGCTACCTGGGTTCTTCGAAACCGACAAATCCCTTTTACTATTTATTCATTCCCCCGCCATTATCGCCTCCTTGCGCCATTTCTTCTCTGTTTCCGCTCCGTTTCTCTCGCTTTTTGCCTCTTTACACGTTTCTCTCCACTGTCTTCCCTCTTCCCGGCATTCACATTCCAACAGATCTCTGTTTCAGGCCCGATCGCTGTGACATCGAATTTAGAATCCTCACTCATCGGTGAGTTTCTCTATAGCTTGTTCTTTATATAGATCCGTTGATTTTGATGGGGTATCCCATCACATGATTTCTTGCATGCGTAATTTCCAGATCTTCCATGGGTAAGGGTTTATTATTGTAATTTTGTGAACTGTGCTTCTTACATTGAGATTTAGACGCTTAATTGACGTTATTTCCATGATATTCCGAAGAAAATGTAATTCCTCGAATTGATATCAACCACATTTTTGCTTGGGTTTTAGAGTATCGCCGTTGTTATGGTAGTTCAGATCGCCATTTTCTTCTATACAAAGTATTCTGTAATTTGATGGGACTGCCATTTTATTTCTTCTGATTTCTCTTGTATCTCTTGAAAGCAGGGTGAGGGTTTCAAAAGCTTGATTAAGAACAGGAGGGAGGGTAGATTCCAATCTGATTTGTTTGGAAGAAGGAGCTGTTTCCATTTGATTTTGTGGTGGAAAGGAGCCTTGAGATCTCCTTTTCTCCCTTTTACCATTTTCCTCTATCTTATTCCTTGAAGGTATTGTTGGCCTAGCCATCCAATTTGAAGATATGCGGAAGCCTCAAGATCAACGGTCAAGGTCTACCAAACCCACTACTATTCATAGCTATGCTCAGTCTGGGGACGTTCTTAGCCTTCAAAAGCTGCTTCGAGAGAACCCGGGTCTTCTGAATGACAGAAATCCATTTGTATGGTCTCTTTCTTGTGGAGCTTTTTGGTATTTTTGTGAAGTTTTTGTTAACGTTCTCATTTCTAAGTTTGTGTATTTGTTCATTGGGATGTGGCTTTCTTATGTGAACATGAATTGCTTTGGTGACATGTATTAGATAAGGACTTCTTCCCACGCGGTCAGATATTGTCCTCTTTGGGTTTTTCCTTTCGAGCTTCCCTTCAAGGTTTTTAAAACGTGTCTGCTAAGGAGAGGTTTTCACACCCTTGTAAAGAATGTTTCGTTCTCCTCTCCAACCGATGTAGGATCTTGCATTGGTTCTGGATGAAAATTTTGGTGCTTGATTTAGTTTTAATGCTGGGCATGAATGTGATGTCCCACATTGGTTGGGGAGGGGAACAAACCATCCTTTATAAGGGTGTGAAAACCTAACCCTGGCAGACGCGTTTTAAAGCCTTGAAGGGAAGCCCGAAAGGGAAAGCCAAAAGAGGACAATATCCGTTAGCGGTGGATCTGGGCCGTTACAAATGGTCTTAGAGCCAGACACCGGACGATGTGCCAACCTTCTCGTTACTCCCTGAAGGGGGTAGACACGAGGCGGTGTGCCAATAAGGACGCTAGGTCCCAAAGGGGGTGGATTTGGGGGCGGTCCCACATCGATTGGAAGAAGGAAAGAGTGCCAGCGAGGATGCTGGGCCCCGAAGGGGGTGGATTGTGATGTCCCATATTGGTTGGGGAGGAGAACAAACCACCATTTATAAGGGTGTGGAATCCTTCCCCTAGTAGACGCGTTTTAAAGCCTTGGGGGGAAGCCCGAAAGGGAAAGCCCAAAGAGGATAATATCTGCTTGCGGTGGATCTGGGCCGTTACAATGAATTTCTGGAGTATATTACTTTAGCACTTGTTTCCACCCGGGATCTCTTCGGGTGTGTTTGGAGCTTCTTTTACTCTCTTCGGGCGTGTTATTATTTGGTTGATTCCATGTTAACCATCCAGTTATATCCCTTCTCCTTTTTTAAATAAGAATTCTAAGAATACTCGCTGGTGTAAGACTAGATTATCAGTTCTCGTTTTGAATACATTGTCTCCGTTGCATACTTCTCTCGGTAACACGGTGAAGAAAATTGTGGCGTATCTTTTTGTAGATAATTTCAGTGTTGTTTCTTGCTCATTAACTTTGTATAATTCAAGATATAGAACCAATTTATCCGTTTTTTATTACCTTTGGAGCGAAACTCATGGCTTTTGATGCCTACTTCAGATGGGACAGACACCACTTCATGTTTCTGCAGGCTATAACAAGGCAGAGATTGTTAAATTTCTTCTTGCCTGGCAAGGTCCAGAAAAGGTTGAGTTGGAAGCCAAAAACATGGTAGGTGTATATCATTCTTTGTTGACGGTTGTGTTTGTAACGAAATTGAACCGTACTGCTCAATTATTGTTTAGAGCTAACCGTCTCAACTCTCTGCAGTATGGAGAGACCCCATTGCACATGGCAGCAAAGAACGGTTGCAATGATGCAGCATCGGTGCTACTAGCTCATGGCGCTTTTGTTGAAGCCAAAGCAAATGTGCTTTATATTACCTTTTAGTTCTCTCTATTTGATTGATTTTGTAACGAGTTACACGCGTTGGTTGAAGTCTCTGCTTTTGTGTATTCTTTATGCAGAATGGGATGACACCATTACACCTTGCTGTCTGGTACTCACTCCAATCCGAAGACTGCGCTACTGTAAAGACATTGCTCGATTATAATGCCGATTGTAGTGCAACGGACGATGTAATATCCTTTAAACTTTTGCTTGCAGAATTGTTCGTTCTCCAATGTATTACTTACTTCGAAAGCGGTACTACGTTGACATGTCGTTTAAATGCAGGAGGGTATGACTCCCCTAAACCATCTGTCACAAGGCTCATGTAGTAAGAAGTTGAGGGAATTGTTGAACAAGCATTTAGACGAGCAGAGAAAGCGAAAAGCGATTGAAGCGTGCAGTGAAACTAAAGCAAAGATGAAAGAACTTGAAAACGAGCTCTCGCATATCGTGGGTTTGCACGAGCTCAAGATACAGCTTCAAAAATGGGCTAAGGGAATGCTTTTAGACGAGAGACGCAGGGCCCTTGGCCTCAAAGTTGGCACCAGGAGGCCCCCTCATATGGCATTTCTTGGCAATCCTGGAACAGGTAAGTACTTATAGGAGGCAACAATTTTGTATAGCTGTTTGTTCCCTATCTTCTATATGCGCCCCGGCATCCCCACAAGACCGATATTAAAACGCGCGGGAGATACTCGCATCCGTTCTTTTCAGTTATATATGGTTGCTTAGCTTGTTCGCATTAGCTAACAGCTCTTGTATACCATTATGTTTCACTTATTGTTGTCATTATTTTTGAAAGGTAAGACTATGGTAGCTCGAATACTCGGGAAATTGCTTCACATGGTCGGGATCCTACCGACAGATAAGGTAACAGAGGTACAGAGAACAGATTTGGTTGGCGAATTTGTCGGTCATACTGGTCCAAAAACCAGGAGAAAAGTACGTCGTCGCGCATGCCTTATAGCCTCTCTTTTAGTTTATTTGGAACATTGCTGTATTTATGAATGCTATCTCTTCGACTTCCAGATCAAAGAAGCAGAGGGTGGAATTCTTTTTGTCGACGAAGCCTATCGACTGATACCGATGCAGAAATCCGACGATAAGGATTACGGTTTAGAAGCACTGGAAGAGATCATGTCTGTCATGGACAGTGGGAAAGTTGTAGTCATATTTGCTGGTTACTGCGAACCGATGCAGCGCGTTATAGCGTCAAACGAAGGATTTCATCGACGGGTAACCAAATTTTTCTACTTTAATGACTTCAGCTCAGAGGAATTAGCAAAGATTCTCCATATCAAGATGGAGAATCAAACAGAGGATAGCTTGTTATATGGCTTTAAGTTGCATCCTACTTGCACCATAGAAGCCATTTCGGACCTGATCTCGAGAGAAACGCAAGAAAAACAGCGTAAGGAGATGAACGGTGGTCTAATCGATCCGATGGTAGTAAACGCGAGAGAGAATTTGGACGGTAGGCTCAGTTTCGACTGTATAGACACAGAGGAACTGCGTACTATTACAATGGATGATTTAGAAGCAGGCCTTCGTTTGCTAACACAGTAAGGTTGGTTGGTTCATGCAACATATTCAATTGCAAATGCGCAATGCATTGTTTGTGTGGTGATTAGGCGATTTGGAGGTGTAAGCAGCATCTCTGTTATTATTACTGCACCAAACTGAGATTACATGTGCTTGGAGATTCTAAGTATTCGATGATTTGTGATGTTTTTGTATGTACTGTGATTCATTTTATGACCCATTCTTTTTTTTTTTTTTTTACTTTGTCATTTTAGTTCAAGTTCATCGTTCATGGTTGGTAGACATTGTCCGTTTTGGTTCGTTACGTATCGTTGTCAGCCTCACAGTTTTAAAACGCGTCTATCAGGGAGAGATTTCTATACTCTTAGTATAAGAAATGTTTCGTTTTCTTCTCCAACTGGTGAGGGATTTTACAACTAATTTCTGATTCAGGTCCATTCACTAATATATTAGATATCCATTACTTTTAATAGTCTATGTTTTGAAGAAGTTACCTCGAATACGGAGGATATCTAACCAAGCATGCTACATGAAAATTTCGATCTTCGTTAGAATGTTTAGGACCTGTAGCTTCTTTTACATCTCCACGTGCTATGATTTGACAAGCTAAGTCAGTTTATAGCCACAACTAAATGGCTTTGTGATCATCGAGATGTGTGGAATGATTTTTGAGTCATCAAATATGAAAAGTTCATTGATTTTTCTCACGTTCTATGTACCATTGGTAACCAAGCTAACGATCAAGTAGTTAATGAGAGGTTTTATAAGTACGAGCGTCATCTTTTGGATTGGTTAAGAGATAGATACGTGATGAACATAACATCCTTGGTAGCCTCAAAATTTTAACATGCGTATGTTGGGAAGAGATTTCCATAGTCTTGTAAAAAATGCTTCGTTCACCTCTCTAATCAGGGTGGGATCTCACAATTTAACTTGTTTCGGGGTCAGCATCCCTGCTGACACTCGTTGAACTGGAACAAATATAAAAATTAGAAATTTAAACTTATTAAAAAAATTAATTAAAATATTAATTTGGAATGATATATTATATAATTTTTTTAATGTAAAAATATCTACAAACATTTTATTTTTTAACCATTTCAACATTAGCAAAGATATGTAAATAAGCTCTGTAATTCAGACTAAAAATGTCACCTTTCTATATAATCTTAGCTCACAATTTGAATGAACCGATGGTAGCCTGAATTCCCGTCGGAGACCAGAAGCTCAGTCATGGCGTAAGGTTTGTTCCCATTTCTTCTTTCTCTGCTCCATCAAGAACATAGCAATCTCGAAATTCAATTCATGCTGGTTTCTCTGTCGTGTATTTCTGTCAGTAATTCATCCAGGTTCTCGTTTCGTACTCTTTGGATCGCGAGCCTTTCTCCATGGACATTCTCTTTGCTCAGATCCAAGCTGACCTTCGCTCCAACGATGCCCTTCGCCAATCCGGCGCTCTCCTTCAGGCACTGCAGCAATCCGCTGCCGGCCGGGACATTTCCGTCATCGCCAAGTCCGCCGTTGAGGAGATCGTAGCATCCCCTGCTTCTGCTGTTTGTAAGAAACTTGCCTTTGACCTTATTCGCTCTACGCGTCTTACTGCGGATCTTTGGGACATTGTGTGCACCGGTATTCGCACTGATTTCGACTTTCCTGACCCCGATGTCACCGCTGCTGGGGTCTCCATTCTCGCTGCGATTCCTTCTTACCGCCTCGCCAAGCTGATTACTGACTCCCATAAAGAAATTTCTGCTTGTTTTGATTCTCCTAGTGATAATTTGAGATTCTCGATCACCGAAACTTTGGGGTGTATTCTTGCTAGGGATGACCTTGTCACGCTTTGTGAGAATAATGTTAGTCTACTCGATAAGGTTTCGAATTGGTGGTTGCGGATTGGGAAAAACATGCTGGATAGGTCGGATGCTGTTTCGAAGGTTGCCTTCGAGTCAGTCGGAAGGCTGTTCCAGGAATTTGATTCGAAGAGAATGAGTAGGTTGGCAGGCGATAAGTTAGTCGATAGTGAAAATTCTCTTGCTATTAGGTCCAACTGGATTTCTTCAATGGCAGACTTCGTTTGGAAGAAGCGAAATGCCTTAATGGCGAGGTCCCTAATTTTGCCTGTGGAGAGCTTTAGGGCCACTGTGTTTCCAATAGTGTATGCAGTGAAGGCTGTAGCTTCTGGGGCAGCTGAAGTCATCAGTAAGCTCTCGAAGTCTTCTACTGGAAATGGCACCATTACGGACTCAAGTGCAGAGAGGCTAGTGGGAGTCTCAGATGTAGCTACCCATTTAGCGCCATTTTTAGCTTCGTCGTTGGAACCGGCATTGATTTTTGAGGTAGGGATTAATATGTTGTATTTGGCTGATGTGCCTGGAGGGAAGCCTGAATGGGCTTCACAGTCGATCATAGCGATTCTCACACTCTGGGATAGACAAGAATTCTCTTCTGCTAGAGAAAGTATTGTTCGGGCTGTTGTTACCAATCTTCACCTCCTTGATCTACATATGCAGGTATGTGTCATTGATTCATTTTGGTAAGGCAACATATTGTTTGTCTGCATTTTGTGGTGTACTAAGACGATAATTTCTTTACAAGATCTCATATATCTGCGTCGACCTTCGAAGTAGGATTGTACCCTGACAATATGATGTCTTGTTGTTAGTAGGTTTCATTGTTTAAGAGACTACTTCTGATGGTGAGAAATTTGAGAGCAGAGTCAGATCGTATGCATGCCTTAGCGTGTATTTGCCGTACGGCTCTCTGTGTCGACCTTTTTGCCAAGGAAAGTGTTCGTAGAGGTCAAAAGCCTCTTGCAGGAACTGATATTGCTTCTCTATTTGAAGATGCTAGAGTTAGAGATGATCTTAATACCGTTACTAGTAAAGGCTTGTTCAGGGAGGAATTGGTTGCTTCATTGGTGGAAAGTTGCTTTCAGTTATCTTTACCCTTGCCTGAACAGAAGAACTCTGGGATGGAGAGCAGAGTTATTGGGGCATTGGCCTATGGAACTGGTTATGGAGCACTAAACTGGACAGAGCCTGCATTGGAGGTGGTTGAAGTCTGTAGGCCCTGTGTCAAGTGGGATTGTGATGGCCGCACATATGCTATTGATTGTTACTTGAAGTTGCTAGTTAGGCTATGCCATATATACGATACTAGAGGAGGAGTAAAAAGAGTCAAGGATGGGGCATCTCAAGATCAAATTTTGAATGAGACAAGGCTGCAAAACTTGCAACGAGAACTTGTGAAAGATTTACGTGAGGTATTTCAGTTCGTTATATTTACCTCTTTCCTACTTTGTAAAATATATTGACCTGCTTTTAATGGTTCCTTATCATCAATTTAACGACGCGACAGGTAAATACCCCAAGAATAAGTGCCCGTCTTCTTTGGGCGATTTCAGAGCATATTAATCTTGAAGGATTGGATCCCCTTCTAGCTGATGACCCGGACGACCCATTAAATATCATCATTACAAACATCCACAAGGTCTTATTCAACGTAGATTCAGCAGCAGAGACAACAAATAGACTTCAAGATGTTCAGGCAGTGCTTTTGTGTGCTCAGCGATTAGGATCACGACACCCTAGGGCTGGCCAGCTATTGACTAAAGAACTTGAAGAATTTCGAAGTAATGGCTTGGCTGATTCTGTCAACAAACACCAATGCCGTTTAATACTACAGAGAATTAAGTATGCTTCAAACAATTCAGAAAGCAGGTCAGTATACATTGCATTACTAAATCAACTTTTTGGGTGATTTTCAGTGCTCATCGTATAATGGTCCTCCGGTTTTCAGGGAAATGTTTTTACTCCTAATGTTAGTTCTTGCTAGGCGCTAGCACCTTTTGGCAGTTATGTTAATCGAAATTCGTCCACGGTTTCGTGTTCTTGGTTAATCAGCCTTTGTAAGAATAAGACATGCATACTTTGAAGTTTCTTCTGGGTATGCGTAGCCAAAATTGTTTATAGAGAAGGATTTTACTTTTCAAGTAGTTGATAGCTAACATCCCAATCTCTTAGAAGTCCTCGCTGCTCACAGTAGCCAGAAGCATCTTTATACCTTGTTTTCGTTTTGTGTAAAATTTATTATTTGTTTCCTCCAAAATGCTGGTCAATGATTCAGATCTCCCTTTGATTTTCTTTTCAGATATAATTTTTTTCTCTTTCTATTTAAAAAATAATTGAGTTTAAAGTTAATTTCGTGAAATCGATTATGCTTATTTACAGATGGGCTGGGGTCAGTGAAGCCAGAGGAGATTACCCATTTAGCCATCATAAACTAACCGTGCAGTTCTATGAAGCAGCAGCAGCTCAGGACAGAAAATTGGAAGGTTTAGTTCACAAGGCTATTTTAGAGCTATGGAGGCCAGAACCTAGTGAATTAACTCTTTTGCTGACAAAAGGAATTGATTCTACTCTTCTCAAGGTTCCTCCAACTGCGACTACTTTGACTGGCAGTAGTGATCCTTGCTATGTGGAAGCATATCATTTGGCAAACTCGAGCGATGGAAGGATTACTCTACATTTGAAGGTTAAAGATGCTTCTCTTCTTGTTATTACTGTTTACTGAATAGAAATCATTAGTTTGGGGTCACTGGGCTTTTCTAAAGGAAATATTATGTTAATAAACCATAATATATATCGGAAAACATAGGATCATTGGGTTGGACCAACCATCAAGCTGCCTACAAACACCACACAAAAGTTACAAGAGACGACCCTAATTGTCGGTAATAAAAATGAAAAAGCAGTAGAACATGATGAACATAACTGCATAGAGCTATAGAAGCGGAGTCACACTCAAAACCTTATGGTGCAAATATCTCCTTTGGTATTTTTGTGAGCACTTTGGCTAGGACTTTATATACTAGGTAATGAGACTAATTGCTAGCAATCCTTCCCAATAAACACTTTCTTCTTTCTATCAAAAATGTGAATTTCTCCTTGAGACAGGAGTTTGCGTGGCCATAGTGCACTCAAAAAATCAGATCGAAAATTTGGTACAAGGATGGCGTCCAGAAGAGGCAAAAAGAAAATGAAATTATACAATTAAAAAAATTCAACTAGACAGAAGAAGCCCAATTACAAGTGACCAATTATTTACAATGAAGAATGAAGTAATATATCTAAAGCAATTTACCTTCAAACTTTATATCAGTAAATACTTTCATTAGTTGCGGGGGGGGGGGGGGGGGG